TAATAACATAAAGTAATAGCTGTATTTGTAAATAGTACTTTGGCAGGTATTAGTTTTATGTTATTAGAATTTAAAAAGCCATATATAGCTTAAAACAGCCTGATTATCTGTTGCTAATTGCCTCTTCTAATGTCTTAGGATACTTCTAAGTTTAGTATAGATAATCCTTATAAAGAGTAAACTATTTGTTAAGCCTGGCCAATACAAAAAGAACAATAGGTCAAATCTTCTCTACAACTGGTCTATTATAAAAATCTTTATAGTATCTAAGAGGCTATTGAATTTAAAATTTATTTTTAATTAGTTATTATTTTTATTTATTTTTATATTTCTTTTTATTTATTTTTATATTTATTTATTTTTTTTTTTATTTCTTTAAATAAAAAATCTTTTACTTAATACTCATCACTTTAAAATTTGCTATAGTTTGATAGTTTTTAGTAAATTTTATTACAATACTATATAAATTTCTGTACATCTAAGTACTATCTAACCTAATCTTGATCTTTTTGTCTGTATATCTGTTAAGCTGTTATATATTTCAAAGTATATTATCTGACTATAAAGCTTCAGAAGTCCTATTTGCTAATTAATTATTTATATGTAGTTCTTATTAATAAGGCTCACTTTTGTAAAGTTTACTCAAACTTCAGTATCTAGTGTTGTTATATTACTATATTTAAGATTTTTTTTAATCATGTCCAACATCCAAATATTCAAGAATATTTACAGCATATACAAGCTTTAAAAATTAATATATTAATTTAAAAAATATAATTATATATTTTTTATAATAATAAATATTTTTATTTAAAAAAATAAAATAGATTAATTTAATAAAATTTTAAGTAATTTTAATTTATTTATTTGTCTAATAAATATTCAAAAGTGTTCAAACTATGTCCATAACTATCTCATAACAATACTATTAGTATCTATTTTACAGTATATTTTTAGTATTATATTTATAATATACCTTTGTTTTTGATATTAGACTTCTAATTTAAATAACCTAAAAGAACTATAATCTGTTTCTGATATACTAAGATTATAATATTTAATATCTTTATTCTTTAGTTTAAGACTTTTAACAGTCTGGTTAATAGTATCTCTTATTTGAAATTTTTACTTACTTGATTTCTTTATATTAATATTTGTATTCTAAATTTAGTCTTTACAATAGTACTATTAAAATTTTATGGTATCTTTTTATTCAGATCTTTTTAAGTAGACTCTAACATTTTAGTTTTATAAATTTATACAACTACAAGAACTTATTTTAGATTTGTACTACATATTACCAGTTTGTACTCTTTTGTATAATCAATTATACAAATACTTTATGATCTACTAATTATGCTAATATAAGTATAGTTATAAATATTTTTTCTCAACTAATTAATAGAATGTTACTACTATAATATCATCTATATATTATATAAATAATTATTTAAATTTTTATTACTGATAAGTTTTAAACTTCCAATCTACTACTTAAGAGTTGACAACTTATTCATTTCACTAAGTTATCATACCTTTTACTTTAGAAATATTTATGAAAGTATATTAAAATTATAACAAATATATACAAACTATTTTTATTAAGTTATATAATAACAGATCATCATCTTCTAAAGATATTATTATTTTTAAAAAATCTAATATATCTTTTTTATATAACTTATTGAGTTGCAATAAAATTGATAATTTATCTAATGACTATGTTTGATATATAAACATGATTATTATAATTATTAAGACCATGTTATTAATTATTTGATTATTTTTTATTAAAGACCTGCTTTTATTCTTTCTTTTAATATATAAATAGTTAGATTCTTTATATATAATTTCAACTTTTTTTACTCATCCTCTTCCTAAAAAATCATCTGATTTTTAACACTTCTCTTACTTAAAAAATCCTACTTTAAATATTTAATGCTCTAATAGTAAGTAATATGAATAATATAGTTAAAGCTGAATTATTTGATAATATGAACAAGAATAAAAATGACAATAATTTAAATAATGTAAATCAAATAATAAATAATGTGATTAATGTAAAAAATTTATTAAAACATGTAAAATTAACATTTGTAAATTTGGAATAAAGTTTTAAAAATTTTCAATTTGTAAATTATTTTATTATTTACTCAATAAATTATTTAATTCTAATCAAATTTTTGCGTAATTATGATCAAGTATTTACTATGTATGCCAATACTGTATAAATTTATACTATAAATTATTGATCGGTATTGAATTAGTAGTGAATATGCGGGATGCCGATCACATGGTAATTCGTGTAACCTTTAACGTTTCCCCTGTTGGTTTGTGAAACTACGAATCAAATTTCAAGACCATGAGTAAATTCAAATAAACGTTCGCTTTGTCAAAAATCTCTTATTTCGTGGGAATTTGTATAAGAAACTGGCTTTAATGCTCTAACAAAAAGTTTTCCTTGAACGATTTTACTGTAGGATCATCGAACCTTTAGCCATAGTCTAAACACTAACCTTAACATTAACGAATTTCTGCTGCGCTACAAACCTGACACATTTCAGATATGTCCACTACCCTTGTAGTAACAGCAATAATCATAATTTTAAGAGTTATCAAACTTTTGGTTTATTACTTTTAATTTCATAATACTAGTCGTACGTTACATACGTACATATTTTTTTCACTATCACAAAATTTTTGATCCAATTTAATATAGTATACAGTACTATGCTAATCTGTTAACCTTACTAAAAAAAAATTATAATGCAATTCAATCATTTTTTATTCTGCTCTTTAGTTGCGTCAGCAACATCATGAACAGATTGTTTAATTTCTTCAATTGGTCCTTTAGGGTGACGATCAATGGGTTTCGGATTAGCCAATCTTTCTTTGGGTTCTCGTTGCCTGTCGCTTTGTTCTCTAGAAGAATCAACTTTCGCAGCACCCTTGCTCAAAAAGAGTGTTAAAATTGCAATAAAGTAGACATTCAAATCACGTCTTATAACCTACTTTATCTGTTGAACCTTGACATTTTTCTTTTAAACCCTCTTCATTTTTCATCATCTCATGTCCTTTCTCTTTTACACTCTCAATAGTATCATAACCCTTATTTTTTGCGTTTTCCAAATTTTCCCTGCCCTTATCTTTTAATTGCTGTGTCTTTTCTTTAAGTCCTTTGGCCACTGCTTCAGCTTGAGTATCTAATGCGTTAGGTGTAGTCATACGTGTAAAAACATCTTTAACCTTCTCGGTAGCACTGGTTGCAGTATCTTTCATTATGCCTAAAGCTTCCTTGGCCTTATTAATAGCATGGCCTTCAGTCATTGGTTTTTCACGAGTAGGACCTGTTCCTTGTGGATTTTCATCTTTCGGACTCGAATGGTGAGGTTGGTCAGGTGATATATGTTCCTGTTTTTGTTTGTCTCGATAAGCTGTGGTTCGAAGCAGTCTATTATTGGAAATTACGACAATTCTATTAAACATCAAAAATTTACGAGTTCGAATCATTTTTTTTTTTTAAAAAAAAAGAACTTTTTGAATGAGATATTTAAAGAATTAAAATTATTAACATTATCCAGAATGCGTTATTTGGTCTCTTATATTTCAAAATTATCATTTATCACCATTCAGTACATAATAATTACGCCCGACAAACTTCAAATATCATGACAAAATTATATCATCATTATGATTTTTTAATTAATTAAACGTCAAGTGCCTAGGCTCTACATAAACTTTTAAATCACATGAAATACATTAAATTACAGTCTAGCTGTGATTGTAGTCGGCAATGCATTATTCCCGATTAAATTTAGTCAATTTCTGCTAATTTTAAAATCACATTTACAACTGACATAAAATCTTTTATCAAGAGTTTCTTATATCGAGTTACCTGTATATAAAGAAAAATAAATTTTGTTCTTCCATTAACATTATTACTATATTTTTTAAAACAAAAGATTTCAGTAACAATTGGACCTAATTTAGGATCAGTTTTTAGATTCGAACCTAAATCAAGTTGAAATTTCGTAAAATATGGCTTAAAGATTTCACTTCGCTCCAGCTCAGCAGACTTCATAGTGCAATAAAATATGAAAATAGTGATTCAATATCCCGATGATCGAAATTTTCAGGGTTAAGCCTCATAGGTAGGGTCCGGAATGGGCCGGGTCAGACCCGTAAATTTATGGGTCAGGCCGGGTCGGGTCTGAGCCTAAATTTTAAGCCCGTAAATTAATCGGGTCAGGTTTGGGCCGGGCTAAAAAATACTGGGCAGGGTTTGAGCCGGGCTAAAAAATACCGGGTCGGGTTCGGGCTTTATAAACAGACCCGTCAAACCTGATAATACCCATTTTGTACGGTACAAACTTAACTCTAATTAGATATCACTTTAACTTATTTTTTTTTTCTATAAATAAAACTATAATATGCTATATATAGTCAACCCTCCGTAAATGCATACTATAAGCAAAATTTTTAAAAATGTGCATTTAGAGATTTATGGAGGTCATTTTATTAAGTGCTCTATATGCTTGGGACTGAAGATTAGTGCGCATTTAGAGTAGAGGTGCAGGCGAATCGTCCCAATGACGTCCCAATGATGTTACGGCTTAAGCCGTAACTAGCTAAAGCTTATATTGTAACTAGTTACGGCAATCATTGGGATGATTTGCCTGCATCTCTAATTTAGAGAGGGCATACATAGTGCATGCATTTATGGAGGGTTGACTGTAGATTGTAAATTAAAGTTTATTGTCAAAACCCGTTATTTTAATATATCTAGAAAGTATCTACTGTAGAAATAAAATAAAACTTATATCTTTAAACAAACAGGAAATTATTGATCAATAAAGTTAGGAAATATTTAACTTCATTCTTGCATTTTGTCCCCATAACAAGTAATTGTGATTTTTAGATTTTTTGCACCATACATATGTATGTATATATAGTTCATAAAAAACAAAAAATGTAGTATTGGGGTTAATTTTTTTATGTGTCTATAAACTTTTTTTATTTCATTTAAATTAAAAAATAAATGACAATTTCTTGAGATGTATGTAGAAATGGGAAAAAGAAATATGTGAAATTAAAAAAATTGCAGTAAAAGGATATTACACGCACCCTTTTTTTTTTTTTTTTTTTTTTTTTTTTTAAAAAAAAAAAAGAGCAATATCATATACATCATATACTTGTAGTCTTAGTGAACAATTCAACTTAAACAATAATACTATGTATTCGTAACTAAAATAAAAATGGATTCAGAAGGTAATGAAAATATTGGTAGTATGGGTCCTGTGCAAAATAAAACACCTACCAAAAAACATAAAAAAGGTGATAAAGAACTTTCATGAGTATTCAAAGAAGGACACTTTGTCAAGCCTGAAGATCCCCAAAAAAGTAAGAATTTAGAATAATTAATGTTATATGTATTAATAAATATGTATTAATAAATATATATAAAACAATATAATTCTAGAGAACTGTGCCCAATATACGCACTGTGGAACTCTTTTTAAATATGATGCCAATTCAGAAACAAGTTTCTTGATTCAGTACATAAAACAAATGAGATGTAATCAATATCTTAATTCTGAATTACAACAACAATTGCAGTTTTCTGAATCAGGTGTTTCTAATTACAAATTTTTACAAGATAAAAGCTGTGAAGATCTGGTGGATATGATTATAATGCATGCATATCCATTTTACATGGTTGAGTACAAGGGATTTTTAAAATTTCTTAAAAATCTGCGATCACAGTTTAAATTGATAAGTGAAAAAACAATCAATGCAGATTGTAAAATTCGTGTTAAAGAGCTTACAACAAAAATTCGTATAATAATACAGGAAGCATCCAAACATCTAAGTTTTACAACTGACTTGTGGACCTTGAACCAAAATCTTGGTTACATGGCAGTTACATGTATGTATGTCTTCTATCATATATCAAGATTTATTTTTTCTAACATTTAATTATATATTTTATTAGGTCATTTTATCAATAAGGATTGAAATCTTTGAAAGTCAATTTTAGTATTTAGATTAGTTTCTGCACTGCACAATGGAATCGCTATTAGTGATACATTTTTGCAGTATCTTGATGATTGAAATATTACATCTAAAGTAGGTGTTTTATAGCATGTTTTTTATTTGTATATGTTACTGACAAATTTATTTTGTATAGATGTTGGCAATTACTTTAGATAATGCATCCAACAATGATGCTGCAATAACCAATATAAAATGCAGGCTTGACAAACAAAATATACTCATCACAAATAGAAATTTGCTACATCAACATTGCTGTGCCCACATATTGAACCTTATAGTCACTGATGGACTTAAAATGGTTAAAAATATTGTGAACAAGGTATGCAAATTATTTAGTATTTCTAGTATCAAAATTTTATCA